CCAGTGGAATTTCTGCCCTGCTCACTGCGGTATGACTTAGGATGCAGTGCTGAGGGTCTTCTGGCCTCTGACAACCACCCTGGCATGTCCACTGTGCCACATCCACAGGCTGTGCTTCTGTTTCCCCAAAATATACTTGAATGTACGGGGGTTCAGCACAAGGTCTGTTCTGGGAGCAGCACTGCTCAATCACTGGCTCACGTAGAGAGACAAAAACACAGAAAAAAAAATTAAATTAGAAGGGAAACAAAAAGAAAGTAATGAAATTTTTCATATCTGTCCCTTCTTTTTTTCCCCTGTTCTTCATAAAACTTCAAAGAAAAAAAAATTAAAACTCATTACAATTTCCCTTCTGTCCAGTGAGATTTTCGTGCAAGAAAATCCAACCAGAAAACCAGTTGGGACACATTCAGAGTTCACATTTCCTTGGATCCAAGCAAGGCTTTACAAAGAGAAGTGGAGGGGGGTTATTTTTTTTTGGTTTTGCTACGTAGAGATTGACACCTGCTTTCACTGCAGACTGCAGCGATGGACATTTTAGGTATCTTTTGCTGACTGTAATAACCCATGCCCAGAAAGAAGCCGATTTTGAAATGTCATAACAAAAAGTTAGCATTTGCAATAAAAATATGACAGAGTAGTTTTTCCTCACTGAGAAAAACGTCAACTTGAAACAAGCATTTTATGAGACTGATATATTAAAAAAAAAAAAGTATTCATCTGATAGAACGGAAAAGTTTCCTTGGGTGTTACTTTGTGTGTGTGTGCATGTGTGAGAAAAGTTAAGATTTCTATCAAAGAAATTTGATCCCAAGCCTGTGGCAGTCTAAGCTCCAAGAGCAGATTGTCAGCAGGGAGGAACCTGCAGACCATCCATCTCAGACTGGCAAAAGACTGAAGCCAACAGGAGGAAGATGGGGTAAGGGCAGGAAGCCCAGCTCTATTGCAGGTTTCCCTATCACTCACTCAATCTTTACCACAGTTCCTTCTCACCTTGCCTCAGCCCAGCAAAGAGCAAAGATTGTGAAAAGCCGTGATCAGCTTTGCCCTAGGAAGGTGCCATCAGTGAGGCAACAGGAATCACCATTTGCCAGAAGAGGAAGGAAGGTAACTACATACAAGCTTCAGGTAATTTGTGAACAAAAAGAGAAAGCAACTCACAAGCCTGTAATCCCACACCTTCTCACCACCCTTTGGAGCCAACACCTAACACTTCTAAACCAGAGCAGTGCATGTGGGGCTGCTCTTCCTAAGAGAAGCTCCCTTCAGCTTTCTCACACCAGGGAATGGGTCTCCCAGAGATTTAGTTATAAATTTTAATAAAAATTACATATTTTATGCAATATTCACTACAAAGGTGGGCCACGGAATTGGAGGAAACCATCTGAAGAGTGACAGAGTTGGCTGCAAGGTTGTAGTGCCAATTTCTGTCCTAACAAACTTCACCATCAGTTGCTTATTGTTTGAACATAGAGAATGCAGCCTCAGTTTTTGATTAAGGTTAAGATTCCATACTGTAAAACCTCAGCCTGCACACTTATTTAAAAATAGTTAAAACACGCTTTGGTCAAAATTTACATTCCTCACATAAACTTAGCTTATCGGCCTTCTATGGGCTGTCAGCACTGGCAGAAGAGGTTTCAGACCCTCTCTGAAGACCTGAGCAAGATTAGCATTAAGACTTGTCACATTCGGGTGTGAAATCCCCTATGAAATCCCAAGTCGCATTCTTTGTGACCCCGAAAAGAACAGCAATGCTCTGCCAGTACAAGCTTTCTAGACTGCTGCTTTAAGAGCCACTGCCCTGGTAGCACCACACCCAGTGTCACCGCGTCAGCTCCACCCTGAACTGCTTTCATCACATACTACTCAAACCTAACAGTAGTAAGCGTAGGGCAGACTCCAGGAGGAAGGGAAGATGAAGATCGCACTCTCTCAAGTGCTGTATATGAGATCAAAGTGTACTGAGTTTACTTTACACCGTACCCCAAAGCTCTGATGATACTTCATCTTTTTCGTGCTTGGCTTACAGCAAAAACCATAGATAGCAGAGGACCTGAGAGCTGCTTCCAGTCAATAGGATGTTCCAAAGCAGGGAAAAAGAGGTGCTGGGATTTGGGAGGTAAGAAGGAGCACGAGTTTTTACAGTTACTACCTGCACATTCAACAGTAGTGACTGATAATACACCAGTGGAAGGTGTTCCTATAACTAGCCACAGAGTTGCACAGTGCTGGAAGCTGTGAAGTAGCACTATCCTTAACAGATTTGCATTCACAGCAAACAGCACTTCACACATCTCTGCTCTGTGCACACTAGAAATTCCTGTCTGCTGGCATTCACTCACCTCAGGAGTTAGGTGGCTCCTTCAGGTGGGATGGCCTGACCTTGAAGCACTGAGCCACTTCTCAAAGCACAACACAACTCAGTTCTGAGCAGCACGAGCTAGTATTTGAGCACTACAGCTTTCCCCAAAGGAATTAGTCCCAGGCACTACAGCACCCACCACTCCATGTGTTTATATATGCTCCTAAGCTCCCTTGCAACTTAGGGCAACTTCCATGCATCAGGAAGAGAGGAATAAACAAGAGCTTTTCTGTGATCTTTTTAGGTGCATTTTCCAAGCTCTCTTGCAAGGGTGAGAGAGAAATCAGCGTATGTCTGCCATCCCAGAGAAAGATATGTTCAAGCCAGAAGCACAGCCCACTCTACAGAACTACAAATTCCAGCACTTTCCCTGAAATTCTGCATCTTCAGTGTCTCTGATTAAATGAGCATCTTGGATAAAAGCTACGATGGGGGAAAACAAAAACTAAGAGTTTAAGATCTTAGAATACAAACTGCTCCATTTTATGATTTAGAGCTGTTATGGAAGTTGTCAGTAGTGTTTTAAGCATGGTTAGAGCAGCACTGTTGCAACACTGCACTGGGAAGGACACGTGCTTACACTTGTTGGGCAAGTCTGGAATTTATAGAAGGAAAAGGAATTCATGCAAGGGCTCTTCATCTTAACTAGGAGGTGACATTATATTCCCTGCTGTCACTTCAGATAGATGCAATTTCCTTATAAGATGATGATGATGATGATTACTTTCTAAATCAACCTTCAGCATCAACCCAGCACTACTGACCCCAGAATTACTACAGCTGAACAGAGAATTCTCTGAAAACGCAGCAGAACTTCTGGTACCAATGCATTCAAGGTAACAACTTCCTTCCTTCCTTTAATGTGCATCCATACTCATTTTGGAGGCACATGATCCATCCCCTCTTTCTCCAACTTCATCTCCACCACCACCCTGTTAGCCAAGCACTGTTCTTGTTATCACACAAGGAAGTACTGAAGATGTTCATAATACATAGAACAAGAAAGAAAGGCCACACACTGAAATGATTACACATATGAAGCAGACACATGAACTTCTTCCTTTCAATAAAGTGCCTGTACAGAACTTCTTGCAGTAAGAACAAACAGTCCATAAACAGCAAAAAACCTCAGAAGAAACCAACAGAGCCCCACCCAGCTGAACAGAGTGAAATGTTTGGTTGCATTTTAAGCAGGGGTGCAGGAATCAGCACCAGATAGCATGTAGAAATAAGCGTACAGGAGCACAAGCCACCACACCATCCATCTGAACACTGATGCATTTTAGCATTATGTGGCCCAACAAGAACTCCTTTTTGGGACAGGGTAGCACTGGAGAGAAAGGCCATTCTAGTTATGAATCTTCCTCTCATCTAAAAGCTTGTCAGCAGGCCAATGACAAGCTATCACACAGCTCTCTCCTGAACAGCTGAAGCCTGTGCTTAGAGGCGATAGACACAGGCACAGTCTTCTTCCAGTGCCTCCTCAACTGTGGCAAGGAGACACATCAAGAAACAATGAAGATAGCAAGTTTCAGGAACTGCTGTGCGGAACAGGAAGCAAATCATAGCTACCGTAGGAAGCTTGCTTATTTTCAGGGGCAGGAAGAGAATTCCTCTTCCTAACATGGAACAGCAAGCACTTCACGTTACAGCAAGGAACGTGCAGGGCTGACTGGGGCACAAACACTTCCTTTGTTTTGGGGGGGGCTGGCACAAGCAGAGAACAAACATGTTTCCAAGTAACCAGGGCACAGGACTGATCTGCTGCAAAAATGCCTGCCCAGACAGAGCACATTCAGTTTGCTAGTAGTTGGCAGTGAGTACAGTGCTTCTCCAACCTGTGCTATTGTTGGGCAGAAGAACACAGTGCCCACCAAGCAACACCGTATAAAGTGAAGTATTTGTTTTAGTCTCATGCAGACTCAACAGCTGATGCAAGGAGGCTGGATTCCCCTGCCAGCTCAGAGTTCAGGGCTCTGTTGTCAGGCCCGTGGCAACAGAGAACATTTTGGGAAGGCAGCCAGACCAAGCTATACAGGTGAGAAATCCTTCTGCTCAAGCATTTCTAGCAGTTCTGGCTCCCAGCCATTCCCATGCAGCACCTCAGTCACAAGGCTGCTGGTTTTAAATATCAGAGCAGGTCTCCAGCTGGAAGCATAAGAGCTTGTTGGAGATCTTCTGTAGGCTAAGGCTTCAGGCCCTGCTGCACAGTGAAAATACTTTACACCTTTGCTTAAAACAAAGATGCTGAAAGATACAAGTTCTAACTAGAATTTTCATCACGTGTTGAGGCATGATTATATTCTATCTGTCCCAAGTGACATGGTATATCCAATTGAGAAAGCGTAAACTTAATTTCCATGCTTCAGATTTTAAATAATGCCGATAAAGGTTAAAGGCATCCTCCAGCTGTTACTACAAGTAAAGACAACAGAACCCCTTTAAAAATTTAACAATTCTAAGCTTTTTCCATCCTTTGGTACAAAAGTCATTATACAGTGCAATATTTCAATGAAAAAGTCACTCCAATTCAAATGAACAGGAGGAAGAGATCATGCAAGAACATACAGTTTTACCAGATGCAACACTTCAAAATCCAAGTTTTTTTTTTAAAAAAAGAAAAGCCAACACGAAGTCATCATCAAGTTCTCTGTTTTATTTAAGATTTTAGTTTTAATTCTGAAGAAAGAGGTACATTTCCTTGGTTTTAGTTTTAGCGTCAGGTTATAACCATGTTTATCTGTTTCTTTTTCCTGTCTTTTCAATACTGCACAAACGTCCAGAAACTACAGGGTTAAGTAAAAGCTGCAGGCAGAGGAGGTCAGAGGTTGCTCCTGATGGTGATCATGTGGCCCCAATGCAGTGCTATCCCAGAGTGCCCCAATCAGGTGAGTCTTTGTTTTAAAAAAAAAAAAAAAGAAAGAGAGACCGACAGAGGAGACAAAGACTGAAGTAAATATCACTCGTGTTTCAGCTGCTTATAATTATATTATGTATATGCTAGGTATTAAATCTGTGAATACTTTTAAAACATTAAAGTTTACTTTAAATCTAAAGCCAAAATTAAAAAAAAAATCTTATTCTCCTGTCTCTAAACCACTCTTCAGCAACATGCCATTTACTCAGCGCTATAAGTGTTTTGGCTTTCAACACACTTCATGTCAAACCTCTTACTGAGTGACACAAAGTCCTCTTTTCTGAAAAGAAAAAAAATACAGCAATTTCCCTGTGTAGTGCCACACTGAATGCAAAATAAATGGTAGGCCACTGCTTGCCCCACATGCTCAGTAACTTCATTTAAATTAAATACCTTTTTCGTATTTCTGCACTTGGTTCTGCATTGCATTTTTCCCCTATTGTAGACTGACGCTTTTTCACTAGGCAGGAATACTCATGTGCAAAAGACATAAGACAGTAATATTCTCCTTAAGCATTGAGACTGCGTTTTTGATTTCTCTCTCTCTTTTTTTTTTTTTCCCCTTAGAATGTTTAGAAATTATTTCCAAAGGTGCATTTCAAACACCGGCTCAGCAGAAACTTAATGAAAAGATCTGGCCACGACCCTGTGATGGCATTGCATTTGGGGGGGAGGTTTGATCAGGAACTGGATTCTTCAGAAAGAAAGATATGACAGGGAACAGTAGGTGGGTGTGGGGAGGAGTTGGGGTGGGACACTTCCTGCATTTCTAACGTTGTTGTTTTTTTTTTTCCTCCTTTCCTAATGACGATCCAGCGCTGAGCTCTGTAGTAGATCTGTGGGGGTTTTACTGGGGGGTCTGAAGGCTGTCTGAAAGCCTGGGGGTGGGGAATGGAAACTGGTTGGGTTTGAAGGAGGAGAGTAGGGATTCCAACTGGCTCTGTGCAGAGGGATCTGTGTGCCGAAGGGGTTACTGTGGTGCGTCTGTGACGGCGCTGCACTGGGGCCGTCCACCTCTGTGAGGGCCTGAAGAGATTTTAGCCAATGTGGAGGATTGTCATCTTGAAGGGTGTCTAAACTGTTTCCTGTGGAGGCTGGGATACCTACGAAGAGAAGAAAAAAAACAGGATACAGGCAAGTCAGAGCAGAAGCAAAAAGCCGAGCATGAAGGAGGTCAATTTAACCTAACACAAAGCAACAGTGAAAAAATATGATTAGTTTGTACAAAGAATGCATTTTACATTATTATATATAAATTACCCTGCCCACAAAAGATTTAACATTAAATCCAGATAGGAGAAAGTTTTCCTTCAGAGCTCTTTTTCTATCAAACATTCTGTGCAGCGACTGCATCCCTGTTTCCATGACCTCACCATGCTGATCCCCTACCAGTACCCTGCGTGCTTTGGTTCCTACTCTGCCTACTTGAATCATGCTTCAGTCTCACTAGTAGGGAAACACAACCAGACAGCCTTATAAAAGAGAGCTTTATAAACAAGTGGAGTACGTCCCTTTTTAAATAGGAAAGTCCAGTTAATGCCTTCAGTGCCTCAGGACCAGCGACGCACATACCGGACATACCATCCAGAGGAAGGGACACCTAGGTTGACCCTATAGATAAGCACTGATCATCCTGACTGCCTGCAAAGGTCCCAGGCATGCACTGCAGAAGGTCAGGTGACACTTTATACCTAGGAGTTTCCACACAAATTCCTGGACCCTTGAGGTTTTGTGGATGGAAGCTGGAAGAGACCACCGCATACTGACTTTTTTTTTTTCCAGACGTAAATCAGTTTGTGCCAAACACCCATTGGATGGTTTGCCAGCGGAGCTGAAGGAGTGAGAAACGATTACCTGTGATGATTGCGGGGTCCATCCAGCTGCCAGAGCTGTCCCAATTCAGGCTGTCGGTGGTGGCAGTGTTGGACGTTGGTACACTGTGGTTGGCGTTGGAGGGGGAGGAAGCATTGGGCAGTCCACCAAAGCTGATGTTAATGTTCGGTAGAAGTGCCCTTAGCCCGTCCTGCCATTCCTTCATATTTAAACTCTCTACAGAACTGCTGTTGTCTAGGAGATTTACCAACAAAAAAAAAAATGAAAGATAAAAAAATAAAAAGCTGAAGTTAGAAACAGATGTCCTTCTTTGGTGGGGTATGGGATTTTGTTTTTACTTTTTAAAATCAAGCATTTAATACTTTCTCTGTCCAAAAACTAGCGTAATGTTTATATGGTTGATTAATTATCCAGAAGATTGGCAGGTTTTAAATCAAGTGTAAAGGAGTGGGAAAAAGATTTAACTCCTCTCCCAACTCCCCATTTTTTCAGTTCATGGACTCAATTAATCAAGGGCACAGAGGCTTCCCTCCACCACTAATCAGGTAAAACATACCAGATCCTTTACGAGAAGACCTCTGGCACAAGTCAGCTAACCCAATTCATCTGCTTTATCAATGTGCAGCAGATCTGAAAGGGTTGTCTTCTTTGAAGTATATTAAAATGAAGAAAGGCTAGGTAGGGCTTTGCTACAGAAACCGAACATAATTAAAGCTCTCGAGGAACCAGAGAGGCAGGGGAATATCACAGGTCTTTTTTGTTTTGTATAGGCTGAGCATTCACAGCTCTACAGGTGTTCTTCTGAAGAAAATGGTAACTAAGTTCTCATGAAGTTGGAAGGAACGTGATTTCCTCTTGCAGTTGAAGAATAGTAGAAAAAATTCTTTAAAAGACCTGTTAGAGTAAGTTCTGGCACAGCAACATCCTCAAACTTTGGTTAGATACAAACCAGCTGGATACCACGACTGTCAGATATGAACTATTAGTCTAAGTTACTCAGGGCTTGTATTGAAAAGGGACAACTTGGTTGTTAGCACTACAACAAACAATCCCCAAACACAACTTGCAAACCATGCTATCTAAAACACAGCATCAGATTCTTCAAACCATCTCCTTGTTTTGCTTTTGCATACCAAAACAAGAGCATCCTAGTACCTATAATATTAAATACGGCTTTCTGTATTGATTAACTTGAAGTCAAATATATTTAAAAGGAGAATGGTGGGTAGCATGCTTGTACTATGTTCTGATGAAAACTCTGAAAATAACTTTTTTTTTAGAGCCATTTCCACCTATCCCAATTGAAGAAAAGATCTTGATGTTAGCCAGGATATCTCTGCAAGATACATACATGACACTGCTACTTCATCGATAGCGAAGAGATTTAAGTCTTCATGGAAAAATCAGAGGATATTGCTAACTTGCAACTCTATACTAGGACCTTGAAAACAGCAGACTCCCTTGCAACCAAAGCTGCGCAGGCAATTTTTGTAAAGGGCAATGCTCAGGAAGAACTGATGTCTTTAGTTAGGTTTTTGTAACAACAAAAAGCAAGTTCTTGAAATCTTGCGCTTTCATAATGAACTTTCCCTTCTGAGACTGGATTTGTATTTTCTCTTTAAAATAATCCTAATGTAAGATGTTCTTTCACTCCAGAATTGTAACAACTTCAGTCACAAATAACAATAAATCATAGTTCAGCCGATATCACCAGCTGAACTCAAAACCAAATTTCTATGCTGATCTGCTATATCCACTTGGTCAGTGAAAACTGTGGAACAACATCTGCGTTTGTTTCTACCCCTTTACATGTCTAATACAGACGATTGTGCTGGAGCAGCTATGTGTGCATGTCCCCACATTGCAAGTCAGCAGCTGACATCTAAAATGTCTGTGGCCAAACTGCTGCTGCCTGTGGAGCCTGGAAAGGGGCAAAACACAAATGCAAGGAACGTACTACAAAGATCATCCTTTTTGCCTGGAGAAGTCTGTGGGGTAGAATTTGATGGCTGAGTGACGTTATCCCCATTCACTGGCAGAGGCTAAGCAATCACTCTTTTCCAGAGGGCAGTGCATGAACTACTCCGATGGGGAAGAAAGAACTCAAGCGTAAGCAAAGAAAAAATCCTGTAGAAGTAAACTCCAAATCTTGTCTAATACATGCACCATGTTTCATCCAGAGATTCAAGTTTAAAGTGCTACAGGAGGGAAAAAACAAACTAGTAACTGCAGTTCTGTTTTGAGCAAGTAACTCAGACCAGTTTTTAGTAACCTTAGCACACAGATGTGAGAAGAGCAACCCAAGAGTCCCAGCTTATGCATCACTATATCCATAGATATGTGGCAGAAAAGTGGTCTACAAGTCATAGTGAATGAGAAGAGCAGGCTTTTCACTGACTTGTCCTAGCTGCTATTCATTTGCTATTGAGTCATAGTGCATACTGCTAGCTTCCATTTCTATTTCCATTTCTCCTACTGTGTAAATATGATACTTCCTGTTCTTCTTAGAGTTCCCACTTTTCTCCTGGCAATATGACGACACGCAGACAGTTTTAAGGAACTTACTTTTTCACTGAGACCTGTAAGATTTATTTTAAATCTAATTACACAACCTTTTTTCCCGGGTTAAAAAAAAAAAATTGTTTTAAGTGCTAGCCAGAAATATTTTTTATTTTTGCTCAGTCCTTCCAAGCATTCATTAAGAGACTTGAGAAGTTCCAAAATTCATCTGTCAGGGCAAAATTAACCCTTTTACTATCACATGGCACAGCATCAGTTTCCACTTTAGTTTCTCACCACTGCTTCCAAAAGCTTGTGCAAACTCCCTGTGGATTTAATCACAGATATTACTAACCCCCAGCACGTCTGCAAAGCTCATGAGTGAGCAAATAAACCACAAACCTGTAGTGTATGTATGGCACATGCACACACTATGCTAATTAACATCACTGAGAAAGTTCAGTGAAGACAAAGCCATCAAGACGGCACCATTTATAAGAAATGGGATAGGAAAACAAATACCACGTGGCAGTAAGCCATCTTGGGCTAGAAAACATGGATATTGTCGCGTTATAATCCATATACTGAAGACACTGTATAGGGTTCATAAAAGTCCAGAAGGATAACAAGCATTTGCAATAAAACATTTTCTATGGAACCTCTTCAAGGAATGGAAAAGACTGACACTCTCTGGTGAAGGGCCATCTGTGAGGCAGGCACTACATACCACTGCTATTTACCCAAACAGAATACAAAAAAGAGTAAAAGGAAAACTTTCAGTACAAAATGAACTTGCTAAAAGGATTCAGCATCATAGAATATTATTTGCTAGCAACAATGAAGTTTTATTTATCAAAATCTTGCTCCTGGGTACAAAAAGAGACAGATTTCAGATGTCCCTTTCTCAGATAGCTGAGATTGTGGAGGCTGAAAGGCAAACTACGACAAGAGAGATTCTGCCTTCTGACAGCAGAGAAAAAGCAAGGACCACATTACTCAGGCACCTGTAACAGCTTTCCAGCTTCAGTAACAAACACAGTTGAAAACAACAAACCAAAGCTTCACAGCTTTCTCCCAGTCTCTAAGGAGAAATGCAGCCATTACTCTTGTAATATGGGATGTGGTAAGGGATTACATGCATTAGGGGGTCGGAGTAGGAAGGACTGAGAGTGTAGATGGTAAGGCTCTACCCCACTTCCTGCACCACCCTCTGAATCCTCAGTTACTGGCTGGGATCAGGTGAAACACTCAGCTGGAAAGCATCCTGATGCAAACCAGTAGCACAAGCAATCTCTGAGCATCATGCACAGAAGGACTCAAACCAAAACAAACCAGCATGTCTCTGTTGGAGTCTGACAGGTTGTAAATGTAAGTGAAAATATAAGTCGACCACACAGGTAGAAGTTACACCCACCAACTTACAAAAACGAGCCCCCACAACACATTCTTTTTATCAAGTTTATGGCTATCATAAAGCCAGTACCATATTTATAAACTAAAGGTTAACTTCCAGTTACTACAGATCCACTAGAAATAGCATTTTCTTACCTTACCCAACTTCTCTTCCTGATACAAAACACATTTAATTTTTGACTGGCTAACTTCAGTTGGACACCATAACCTACGAACATGAGAACCAATGCACTACCCCTTCTCTTTCTGAAGGAGTAGAAATACTGTCTCCTTCAAGAGCCTTATCTTAAAGCAGAATGACAAGGATAGTGGGAAAATATGGAAGAAAATAAGTCCAAATCCAGATAACAGCAATGAAAAGATTTTATACATCAAGATAAAACAGAATACATTAGAGATACCTCCCAGCCTAGTTTCTGGGACAAGAAAATAACCTGATGAAGTTTCACTGAAAGACAACTATTTGTATGAAAAATAGACTCAAATACTGTTCTGACTGTATTAAACTTCAGTCTTCTCTTGATGTGCATTTCATAATCCCATCTGGTCAAGTGGAAACTTCAGTTTCCAGAGATGAACAGATTCAACAGTTACATCACCAACCAGGCTGTTTCATAACTTAATGTATTCTGATAGACAAAACTACAACGTAGACCCAGAGGTGTTTCAAATCTGGCTGTATCACATTGGTGATGTTGGTTCCTTAACATTTATGCCCAGGGTTATGGGACACCAAGTCTGAGTGCATTTGGTGGGAGATGAGCTCACTATGATCAACTCTGCATCAACATTCAAACAGTACCTTCTTAGTTAAGAACAAAGAGCACAAGATCCTCACATTAAGTAAGAGCACTACAAGTATAGTTCTTTGCAAAAATTATATTCCAAGTTAACAGAAGAGTCTGATTATACTAATTGCATAAAACTTTAAATATCTTTATCCCAGGAGTCTTATATATTCTTGTCCTGCTGAAAAGTCAACTATTCTGTAAACGTAGGCTGCAATTATTTTTTTAATAGATTGGTACCCATCAGTGAGCTTCATGATCCTTGAGGTCCCTTCCAACTCTGGCATTCTGTGATTCTGTGTGACCAAAGCTGCTGACCAGCCTCAAAATAAATCAAAAAAATTCAGAGGAAAAAACACTGTGTGAGAAAAGAAATGAACATATTGTAATGTCATGTAACTAACTGCACAAGCTAGCACCAAGTGCAGAGAGCTATACTCAGTAACTGAATGCTTATTGCAATGATCTGACCCAAATCTTCAAGGATACCATAAAAAAAAGTTTTTAAGCCTTGGCAAAACAACCAGAGTGACA